TTAAAGGAGAACTATGGGGTCAGTGTTTTTCCCCATAGTTCTCCTTAGGGTTTAGGGGAGGACACAAACTAGCATCCTCCCGTTACCCTAAGCTCAGTATACCGCGAGCTACAGCTCACGGTATACTGAGACGCCGCACCTGGAGCGGATCCCGACGTAGATGACGGGATCCGCCCAGCTGCGTGAGTGACAGCTGGCTCTGCCTATCTAGAGGCAGAGCCAGCTGTACCCGCCCCCTCCCCCGTCCGTTCCGCCAGTCAGCGCTGGCAGATCGGAACGGGGAGAGGGGAATCCAGCCCCTCCCCCTGTCACGGCAGAGAGCCGTGACAGGATCGAGAGGTGAGGGAACCCGGTATGTTTTCCCACACCTCCCGATCTACTGAGCCGACCTGTGACAGTCTCATTGTCACAGGTCGGCTAGAACTATGAGGTGAGTGGAAATCACTCATCTCATAGTTCTCCTTTAAATAAAAAAGCCATATGATCACTAGGGTTAACATTGACCTGGTGTCACGATAACGTGCACGTGTGTCCCCACACCGCGTGCAGGTATCTCTACAGGAGAACCAAATACGTGACCATATCAAACAATGCTTATGAACTATAATTTATTAGCAACTCCAAAAACACCACAACCATAAGCCCTCCCACCAACCCCCACAAGTGACATATAAAAAACTAACTAATACAAATAAAAAAGTACACACTTGGGTGATTTCTTGGGATGAGGTTGGAGATGTAACCAGGGGCAGAGTTGTGGATGGCTTTGTATGTTGTAGTTAGTATTTTGAATTTTGAGTGTTACACCAGCAACAAAGGCATGCATGAATTACCTCACCGGTGCTCACCCAAAAATGAAATATCAGCTTTTGGGTGGAGTTGGCATTTGAGCAGACAGTCAAAAATTATGCTGATGGTGAATGTGTGCATGAAAATTCTTTGTGCTGACAGTAGGAGGTTCTAGCAGCACCAACGTATTTAACATGAAGAGCAGAACACAGTTCAGAACACACATACCAGGCCACGGTTACTTCCCAAGATGCCCCAAACCATATGACCTGCCTGACATGTGCCTGAACTCTGAGGCTGCTTAAACACCTCTCAATGAATCCCAATACATTAAATAAAATTCTCTGGTTCATAAAGGTACCCAGATGTCAGGAACCAGATCTGAACCCAGGGCCTCTGCTGTAGCTGGCAGTGGTTCTACCTGCTGAGCCACCTTAGAACCTTGGATAGCTCCTTCCCTGATCTCCTGTGTAATCCTCAGGTAAACCTAGTTTCTGCTGAACTCTGAACTCCTTGCTCCTCCCTTGAATTTCCTATATAAGCCACGCCTCTGCACTTCCTGTTTGCCAGAGTATTGTGCTCCTGCCAATATCTTGCTTCCTTGCTCCTCCTGTGATACAATCCGCTCATACTGCTACCCGTGTACCGACCTTTGGCTGCTGATTCACCGATTACTCTCATCGTGTTCCACTTCATACCTGATACCTTTTGGCTACTGACCTCGGCTTGATCTCTGACTATGCTTCTGCCTGATCCTTATACTACTACCGTTTGCTTGGGTACCGAACTCGGCATGTTTGACTACGACTTTGCTTGCTGTTTCAGCTACTGGACTCCGAGCCTGATCCAGATCGTGACACCAGATCCCTGGAAGTAGAGGCTTTCTTTATAGTAAAAGTTTCTTGAGATAAACGTGCAGGTTCCCAGGTTCCCGGATGTCATGTTTAACCTCCTTTAATGACATTAAGTCACTGAGCCAGAAGTATGCAGCTAAGGACTTCTAACTTTACTGATCTTCATTTGTGTTCTAGGCCAGTGACTTAGAGTATTGAAGCCAGAGGGTCAGCATAACACACAGGCCAATAGTATTGCAGAGTGAGTAGTGACACAGGAAGCTGAAAAGCTGTGACAGTGAATATCCTGTTCTGTCTGACATTGGATGTATTTATCACCAGACTGGCTGGACAGAATTAAAAATATTGGTTGTATGTACAAACAGGTACACAATGGTATAGGAAGATAAAACAAGGAGATCAATAAAGATTGTGAACATCTCAGCAAGATTTCATGGAAAAAAAATGACACTCCCTCTACCAAAGTCAGAGCTCAGACCTGTGAGAAGAGCTGGAGGTGGACGGCGTTCTGCAGGAAGGATCTCATGGAGCTGCTCTTGTGGTCGAGGAAAGTCTCCTGGCAGAAAGTGATTGGCTCCCCCTGTGAGGACACAATAAACACAAGTGAGTCCTCAATCGCTGATTCAGCACTGGATATTATTCTGCTCATGAGTGAATTCCAAACTACGTGTAGAACGTCTGGCAGGTTTTGTGTTTTTTTTGGCTTCAGTTTTGAAGCTTTCATTTGGATTCTCCATATTAAAGGCCAACAAAGAAGGGCATAGAGCAGCCTTTCTCATTTGGACTCTTCATGATTGGTGTGCAGCTCCATTCTCTGCAATCATTTGCATCCCCTTTGAAGCATCTTTGAATGCTTCCTTTGTGTCTGTGAGCCGCTTATCTAGAGTCATCGCACTCCAAACACATTCCTCATAGAATTAAACCCACACCAAATCCAGCACCTAAACTCTATGCAATGTTCGTGTTTTAAAACCAGGCTAAAGGCTCACTTATTTACTCAAAACCATGAGATTTACTGAACATTGAATGTTACTATGTTGTTTTTGACTTTTGCCTTGTTCTGCACTGTGCTTTGACAACCCATGAAGATAAAAATGAAGATCTCATTCCCAATGCTAACATGTCTTTGAAGGAACTCTACTTCAAAACTTACCAGGTTGTAGTTGAGGGCTTCTCTATAGCTGCCAAACAGCAGAGCCTGGGCTCGGAGGAAGGCCCGTGACACCCCGTCACCCATGAAGGCTGAGTGTTTAGTCAGTTGCAGTTTCAGCAGAGAGACCTGGGGAGGAACAGAAAGATTGCCGGGGGGTGAGTGCAAAAAAGTAGGAGGCCCCATTTAGAAAAACTGAAGGTGTACTGGTAGCTTTACAGTAAACAATATATGGCAGAGAATAATGTAGATCAGAAAGTGAGGCACAAGCCACAAAAAGAAGGTTTGACGGCAGCGATTTTATATTACAAGGTGTAGGAAACCTCAACTGTAGTTCCAAAGGCCTGCACATAATATTCAGCATAGGAAAGAGACTGTCGGAGAGTTCAGACTTACAAGAGGAGACCATTAGAGATTGCAGAGATGCAACAGGAGTGGTTGGAGAGTGAAGACACACTACAGGAGATGTTTATAGACTATAGATCTGCTACATGAGACTGCCAGACATCACCATCATTATACACTCTTTACAAATGAATGCTTCCAGCAAATCCAAACCTTACCCCATCTTCCTGGATCTGCAATCTACTTCTGCAGGGTTAAAATTCACGGTGCTAACGAATTAATGTGCAAATTCACCATACCATTTTTTTAAGCACAAAGCACGGCATGGCCTTTAAACCATGAGCAGCAGACTTAGATGGGCTGTCTCACATCATTTACATAATAGAATGGTTCTCTTTACAGATTACCGAACTAAACATATTTTAGTTTTAGATAGTTGGTAGAATTTTGCTTCATATTTATCTCACGGGGAAACTTCACCGGTGTTTTCAGCTCTGAGCACCTTCCATGGCAAGAGTGATCTAACTCTCATTGGTGGATGTTTCATAAATGTTGCACTATGGACATACAGTAATTCTGCAACAGGAAATATTTGGGGCCTGGAGTCGGTCAGAATGAGATCTTCTGTCTGTGATTTGGCGCTACGCCCAAGGAGGCGTCTGGATGGGGAGTGGTGGAGAGGACACGGGGAAGAGAATGAGAGACTAATGAATGGGACGACGCTGCAACGACGCTGCAACGACTGGTGAGCTACGAACGCAATTTAGATAATCTTTTTGTTATGTTTTCTATATGTTAAAGAGAAATTTCTTTATCCCTTCGATTATCTCTTTTGAATCTGACTTAACATGCAGAACCAGTGAGATTTGATCTCCATTACTGGGAGGATAATAGGACTCGACCGCAGTTGCTAGGGGGACGTGGAAAGAAATCTAGTTACGAAAGACTCACTCCACGTTCCCCTAATAACTCGGGGACAATTAGATCAGTATATAGGGACTCCCTTAACATCGAACAGAGTGCTGTAACTCTTGGTATTGGGTCATCCCTTTCAAATCCTCACGGTTATATATCTATGTGTTTATATCTCTTTAAACAAGACCAAATTGGACTACATACTGTCATGTTTGTTTGCATGTTATATTTCTTGATAAATGTGGGCCACCCGTGACTTGGCCACTATACCGCAAGACACTAAACAAAATAAAACATAAATGCATGTACTGTATTGTATTCCTATGGTCACATGGTGACCTTGTTTAAGCCTAAATAAACTATTTTGGAAAAAAAGAATGAGATCTTCAATGAGCCTCACTCTATGGTGCCGGATGCAGAAAATGTTTGAATACGCTTCTGTGAGGGTCAAGTCTCTGTTAAAGGCTGATGACTACAGCTGTGGTGCGCTTCACCTTTAGCAGCCACCATCTGAGGATGCTTTCTATGTGTTGCCGGTGCTTGGGTGCCCCCAGGACCTAAGTGTCGGATTATCAGACCTTAATAGGAGGTTGTTTCTCTGCAAAGGGGAGTTAAAGACTGTGGAGTTGTCAAGATGAGTAGCCAAGTTAGTTGCTGGGATCAGGAGATTCGAGTATCTAAGCCACTGGGTTGAGCAGGGACATAGTCAATAACAAATCCAAAGTCAGGGCAGGAGATGTTAAAGCAAGGTCAGGTCATGCAAGAGATCGAATCCAGGAATCCAATAGGTCATAATAGCGAGATCCGGCATACGACAGACAAAGAAAGGTAAAAAGGTAAAGGCAGGCTAAGAACAGAAAGGGACCAGAAGTGAAACAGAATATGGGTCAAAGCCAAGAGTACAGGAACAGGAACGAGGCTATGACTAGGGAAGTAGGAACACTGAATGTCAGCATAACAGAAGTGAAAACAAGATACGAGAAGTCAGAATCAAGACACACACACATTAACAAAACTGAATGCTACAACGGGCAACTCAACTAGGAATGCTGTAATCTTAGAAAGAGATTTAGAGTAGAGCAATGAGGAAGCATGCCCTTAGCCACCCCAGTGCATGTACACAGTTCGTCTGAACAGATAAATAGGGCAGAGTTCTCTCGAGCCAAGACACGGGAAAGGGAACAAACACAGAAGCAGAAACAGGCAGACGGGATTGTGACAATAATGGGGTTTGAGTCTATTAATATGAAATATTTGCCTTCCATTTAGTTCAGTTTGCCAGGTCTCTTCAAATTCCAAAAAAACAGAGATCTGCTAATCTGGCCTGTGATCTTCATAGTCTTTAGTTCTAATTAACAAGTGATATACTAGAATCACCCTCTTAACCCTTTTTATGGCTGCCCCTAATTAAAGGCAAAACAAGCGGAATGGTAGAGCACCTATCCATTAGCAGTTGACAGGTTCATATAAACACAAGCAGGGACTGGTAGAGTTAATGTCACAGGTGACCCGGCATTCACCCAAAGATCATAAAACTGAGTTATAATATCAACTCAATTTCATAACTTGGAATTGGAGAGTGATATTGTAAAATTATTGGCACAATTAGCTGGGTCTTGTCAAGACGAGAAAACACATACCAAAAATAGCTAATGGGCAAAGGCCAGAGAGGCGACATTGACCCTCCTGGCCCTCCAATCATTCATATCTCCGGCAAGTTTGGTTTCAATCTAAAACTAAACTCATGACGCATCATAATTTAGGGGTTGTCGGATCAGATTGGATATGAATGCTCTATTATCCTCTCAGTTATGAATGTAACTGTTTGGGAGGAGCAAAGGAAGACATCGTAAAGGTTTGTCCCTCCTGCTCTCCTTCCCCAGCCCTGCCTTACGTGCCGGCTCTGTGACACCCCCTAGAGGGCTGACAAAAAGATGCTGCAGAGGCAGCTAGAGAGTCTCTTGTATGTAACATCAAGGAAAGGAACTCCAGCAGCATCAAGACGTTTGTAACATTCCAGAAGAGTTCCCCTTTAACATCTGGAAATCATCTATGCAAGCCTTGCTTGAAGAAGAGCCCTTCAGAACCCTCTTTTGCTTTTTGAACTTTAGGTCTTCGACCCAGAATAGCTTAGCGGTGGAGGAAGCAGGACAAGTGAGTCATAATGGTTTTCTTTTCAGGGAGGACTGCTATTCACACTTTTGAACATAGTGACATAGGTTTTTGAAAACCATTTCTGTTCCTACCACATGTGGAGGTAGACTTTCCAGGTCTTGGAATGGCGTCTCTAGGTAGTTTGTGTCCATATTAAAAATGACTACATCTTCCAGAACTCCGACATTGACTTGCTGTAGAGGAAAGAAAGAACGGAAAATATACAATTATGAGGACTCGTCCACCAAAACAATGTCAGCTTGTTGTATTATTCACCCATTCACCCATTCACCCATGGCCTTCTAATAGCTACCCAACTGCCACAAACTATAAGGAACTCTGCCTGGTGGAAGGAGATATTCTTGATACAGTAAAATAAATGAAGATTATATTTTATGTAAATATATATATATATACCTTGAGTGCCAATGTATACAATAGTAGGAAAGAGATTACAGAGGATGGGAAACAGAGCTGGAAGGAGGACCACTTTTAGAGTCCATTACAGGCATATGATGGCTGAACATGATTTAATCCACCAGCTTCCACCCATACCTGAAATATCAGAATAATGTGGTCCTTTAATTGGGGCTGTCATATTTGACACCCAGGTGTGTCACACAGAAATACACTTCTTAAAGGGTTAGTCCAACCAAATCTAATATTTCAGTGTTGGGTAGATGTTAGAGAGCCCTTCTGACAGTGTCTTCTGTCTCTATTGGAGAGATCTCTACACTAAGTTCCTTCACACTTGCTGTACCCAATATAAGGGGTTCCTACTATCCTTGATGGGATTTTATTTGTATCATGAACAATGAAACAGGAGATGCTGGGGTGGACAGAAACAGAGTCAGGAATTATGGCCAGGAGATCCCACTACTGAAACATCTAAGACGTATAATAAGTCAGAGGATGATTTGGTCAACTAGCTACCACCTATGATTAAAATAGATATTTTGGCTGTACTGACCCTTTAATCATTAGTTTTGTTTACCTGATACCACTTCCTAGTAACAATTGTGACATGAAGGCAACTTAGATCCACTTACCTCCATCAGACTGCTGTGTACACCGATCAGGTAAGGCATTGGTGCTCTAAGAAAGGACAATGAGACTTATGGTAAGTATATCACACATTTAAAGGAAACTTGTACTGAAGAAACACTGGAGTTCCTATTGTTGAACTCTCTTTATAAAACGCCAGTTATTTGGTTGTTATGCAACAATTATGCAGATCAGGAATTGTGACTTCAGTCTGAGTTTGGTGGCCTCATGCTTACATGCTTACCCCTGCAGGTGATAACTGGTATTGCAACTCAAGCATCAAAGTGAAAATAAAATGAAACACTTATTTGGCACTTTACCCAACACTATATACAATGTGATGTCAATATCAGAGCAGAAAAGTAAACCCTTTCCTAGTGAATTTGCTACCCTTTTGCTACTGAATTGTACACCCCTCTGATGCTCGGACCCTTAAAGAGGCAATTGTCATGTGGTGTCTGCCAATGGGCAGGATCACTGTTAAAGCAGGCTGTGACCTATTAACTCTGCTCTAATGTCTATCCCAAAAGCTCCTTCAGGAGAAAGTCAGGCACCCATTAGTCCTTCAATGTAATCTAACTCAGTCCAATAGATTGACATCAATTACTTGTAAAATGGGGTAAATGTTGAAATACAAGTCATTTGATTTTTTGCTGCTAGTCCGCTGTGGATATAATGGTATTTTACGAGATCCATCGTACCTAAATGAAGACGTCTGGGCTGATTTAAAAAAGCAAACAGCAAATTCTAATACGCTAATGCAGTAGTCTAAAGGAATCAACCCCAATCCTCTATCCATCTATTCTAGGCAACCAAAATAATGAAAGTGATCACAATCTGAAGATTCTGAGGCTTGTTTCTGCCACTTCTAACCCTGCTGCTGTAGACATCAGCCCATCTTAGCATTTGGTGAAGATAGGTGTCATCACAGCCACTTTTATTCCCTGCCTGAGAAGGCTTCTGGTTCACTGGTCACATAAGGGGACACCAGGAGCTTCTACAAGTATAAGAGTAGCATAGTCCTGATTGCTTACTACTTGCATGCTGCTGGCTTTCTGCGGCCTGGTTCTATTATCCATCATGGTCCTGGGAAAGTCTGCACCCCATGTACCCCAGCAATAGACCCACTATTGCTACAGCTTTAGGAGTGGGAACCCCCTCCATGGTACTACATGGAGATTCTAAAAAGGCAACCGGAAATCTGTGAACCCTGGCATATTCCAAGAGTCAATGGGAAGATTTTCTAGGTTGGTGTTGGGGCGTGTGCTGCAAGTTGACTTGTGTGTGTTTAACACTACATAAGCATTGTCGCTGTCCTGAGATCACCAAAGTTATCACAATTGTTTGATCCTCAGTTCCTGGAAAGCGCTGAATCTAAAGCCGTAACAATTAGGAGAACTCCTAAAGTGCATTTTCACCTTTGCAACCAAATTGGGATAATACCTATTTTATATTTGTTACATGTTCCCATTCACATAGCATACGCTAAAAAAATTTTTTTTCAAAGCTTCTTGCAATTTTAATTGCTTTTATTTGGGTTAGGGTTTTAAGGGTTAAAATGTCTTCTAGCTTCTATTTCTTTGAAATGTTAGGAGGGGCTGCCATGGGTGAGGGGTCTCGTCCATTGAGAGGTAGCATGTCCATTGTATGTTAATGAAGCTTATCAGATAAATACAATTCTCAAATTTCTGTCCCAAAGACCACTGTGAACGGGCTAAGAAGAACCCAGAACCAGCCATCTTGCCTTTTTTCAATATGCTGTGTGAACAGGAACACATAATGAACTTATAGAGGGGGTTTACTCAAATTTGACTGCAAAAGTGGAAATAGACTTTAAGTTTCAGCTGTAGACAGACAGATGAACAAGGTGACAGACAGAATGACAGACCCGCAGTAGTCCAGGAGGTGTGGAGGTAGTGTAGGAATATAGATGTGTTGCCAGTACATGGGATACAGGAGGGCTGCAGAGGCATGGACACAGGCTGTCAGCTGTGAGGTAGAGAGAGGAAGACACGGATTAAAATGGATCTATCATCAGATATATTTTTACAAGTTACATACATGAATGCCAAGTTATGTGTACGTGTAACACATCCAGGTTTTTATTACACGGAGATCACAGTACTCCTCCTGGTAATGCCGTCATCTGCTTTTCTCCTTACAAGGATTGAGCCATGCAGGGGCGTCCTAAGGACTGGTGTCACCCGGAATCGGATACCAAGTGACACCACGTCAACGCGCATGCACGCGACTTCACCACGCGCGTGCGCGATGACATCATCGTGCATGCGTGGCCATCTTTGTGATACTTGCTGGTGGCCATCTTGGTAATGGACACCGCCAGAGAGGAGGGGACGTTCACCCGACTTTTCAGAGGGGGTGATACCAAAATGACTGTCAGTCATTTTGGTGTCACCCCTCCAATGGTGTCACCCAGGTATGGGCCGAACCCCCCCTTGTGACGCCACTGGAGCCATGTTTGTTCAGACATCACCTAATCTAGACGTCTATGGGGAGCTCCTGCACAGGTGCGGCCAATGTATAGAAGATTGTGCTCAAAGGTTGCAAAAAAAAAAGTGGATACAGGTAAACATACACCCGGGGAGGGTGGTTTACAGGTGGATACAGGTAAAGATACACCCGGGGAGGGTGGTTTACTTTAGCTTGTGAGTGCACTTATTCTTTTTAGTTTGGCCTGTTTCGCCTTCCTTCATGTGACTAAACAGTACTTTTAGCATGACCCAAGTACTCTAATTATGGTTTAGTCCAATGCATTGTGAGATGTTTAAATTGAGTTTGTATGTCTGACGAGGTCTAACATAAGCTTTACACAAGTAACAAATAACATTTGTCTGAAATTTTGCCTATTCGGTATTAGTCTATAAATCCAGGTGTAGAGGGAAGTCACTATGGATATGGAGGTGTGAAGAATTGGGGGGAGGACAACACTTACCGTACTGAGTTTGCTGGATGTAATCAGGATCCTCCGCTCACACAACAGGCTGGAATATAACTGCAACATTGTGTCCACTTGAACAGCAACAAGGAACTCTGTGAGATTTCTCTAATTGATGACAACAAAACAAAGAAGTTTAGTTAATATCCCCCTGAGAGATCAAAGGGAAATCAAAACAATTATTAATGATCCTTCAAACAAGCACAGCTTTTTGTATCAGGTAAAATCACTTTATGAGATCATTATGACTTTGCAAACAATGTGACATTTCAGGGGCCATACAGGACCCCTTTCTTAAAATGAACTTGTGTCCAGACTATGCACACTTAAAAGAGAACTATGGGGTAAGTGTTTTTCCCCATAGTTCTCTTTAGGGTCACGGGAGGACATATACTAACCTCCTCCCGTGACCCAAAGCTCAGTATATCGCGGGCTATTGAGAGCGCCGTAGCCGGGATGGATCCCAACAATCCACCGGGCTGCCTATCTAGAGCCACAGCCAGCTGTGCCCGCCTCCTTCCCCGTCCGTTCCTCCACCCAGCGCTGGAGGATCGGAGAGGGGAAATCCCTGCGGGGAGACGATGGAGTAGTGAGCGGATCGGCTGCATGTTTCTGCTCACTTCCCGATCAATTATAGGCGACCAGTGGCAGCTTCTTTGTCACAGGTCGGCTCTAATTATGAAGATGAGTGGAAATCACTCAGCTCATAGTTCTCCTTTAAGTATTTCAATATTCTGAACCATCAGTAAAAATAAGTAAAGTCAGTAAAACAAGCCTTCATTCACCTGTGTAGCTATAGGCATTGTTGAGAAATCAATCTTCAAAATTCACAACAGAGGCTCTGAAATCTTACCTCTTCTCTCTTTACTTTCTGTTGCACCAGAATCTTGGCAGCCTGCCAGGACTCTATTGTAAACAAGCAGTAGGTGTTTAAAAACTGTTAAAAATGGACCAAAGCTTTACTTTGTTGTGATCTTTGAAGATCCTTGTGTCAGGTACCTGCCTGCCCATCACCTGTTTTAAAGCTGTGGGGAATTGAACATGGGTCTGCTGAGCACTTCCTGTGCTCTGAGCATGTTTATTTGGGTTAGTTTCCTGAGGGTGCTGCCATTGGATTATCTTCATGACTTTGGCCTGTTTTCCGACTACCGTTCTGAGTGGCCAACTTTGTACCTTGCTGCCCATTAATGTAGACCTTGGCCTGTTTCTCGACTACTCTACTGGATCCTGATTTTGTACCTGACTGCCAGTCTGTAGCTGACTCTGCTTAGCCCAATCCTCAGCCTCGCTCCACTTCGGACTCCACCTACCACAGATACCTTACACTTTGAGTTTGAATTACTTTACAGTACATGCAGCTAGAGAGGTCATTGAGGACTTGTCTTAAAGCACTTTTACTGCTTGGTCTGAGTGTGTAAGTACTTTAATGTCCATAGTCTTGGCCTAGGTGCAGTATAAGGTAGCAGTTTGTGATGTCATAATGATTTTAATAAAAAAAAGGTTTTCCTGATACAATGATGTGTGTTAGTAAGAAGAATCTTTGCTTATTGCATAATGGGGCGTCCATCTGATTACTACAGCACCCAGCACTAGGTCCGCACAGTGCGATATTGACATTCAGAAAGAACAGACTTGCAGAAAGCAAAACAGAACACAACAGGAAGGGTTACAGACGTAGAAAACCACATGGACAGACACCAACCTGCCACAATAAGAACCCTGGTGGCACTGACACATAGATTAGACAGTCAGGATGTAACTGACTGAAAGATGAATGTATGAGAAATACAGCCGACACACACAAATAAACTGTCACTGATATGTTATATAAATGGAAAGACTATCGTGTGGTCTGTAAACCAAAACCTATCACCAAGCCAATTGGAAGCTTGTACTGAGACATTAACACAGTTTGAAGTGTTTGCAATAAGATAAACAAAACAGTAAGTCACCAGCACTACAAAGTAGAGATGCACCGAGACCCGGTTTTCGGTATCGAATAAGAGTACCCAAATTTGTTTTTTTACGGGACTCGCTGATACCGAATACCGATACCGGAAGTCCCATTAAGGAGGCCAGGCGGCATGTAATGACTCGCCACTCGGCTTTCTGATTAGCAGGGAAGTCGTCTCCATGATAAGGGAGCATGCAGCCGGATTCCCGGCCAATCAGAAAGCCGGGCGCCGTTTTATTACACAGGGCCCGGCTTCTTGATTGGCTAGCTGCCTGACCAATCAGGAAGCCGGGCAGCAAGTCATTACACGCTGCTTGGCTTCCTGATTGGCCGGGAAGTCGGCTCCATGCTCCCTCATCACAAGTGATGAAGGAGCATGGATCCGGCTTCCCAGGACAATCAGTCTGGAAGTATCAGGCAAGTCATTGGAGCATTTGGGTGAGTATGAGTACCCGCCCAAATACTCAGCAGCGGCATCAATACAGATACTAGTATCAGTATCGGTCCATCCCTACTCCAAAGGTTCTCCAAGCAAAGTTATTTTTATTCCATGTCTAAAGTTACATTACCAAGTGTAGCAACATTTCAGAATCCATCCAATTCCTTCATCAGTCAAAACAAAGTAATGAAGGAACCGGATGCTTTCCAAAACTTTGCTACACTTGGTGATGTAACTGTACACATGGAATACAAAGAACTTTGCTTGGAGAACCTTTGGAGTGCTGGTGACTTACTGTTTTGTTTATCTGATCCAGTGGCGCCATCCGTTGTTGGGGCATTTTCAGTCAGGAGTGCGATGGGATCCCCTACATGACTCTACAGTAAGAATAAAGACCATTGTCATGCCACTGAACCACTAATACAAACTGGAAAACCAACATAAAATCCGTGAGATTTGTACTCTTCAATTGGATCATCAATGAGCCAATGAGTAACTGCCATCAGGATAAAGGCCAGGAAGTCAGGTAGGCACTGCCTTAGACAGGAATTTATTTGGCTACATTCACCTTCTTCATGCAGTCGGAGTGCCGGGCATTTTGGACACATTTTAGGGGAATTACCATTCATTCAGTTGTATCTTGCTTGAAGCCAAATATGCCACAAACAAAGCACAGAGGTGGCATGGAGGCCTTAGTCCTTTGTGTATGTTCTCTGATATCATTATAACGTCACTTGCAGATACAATGATCACCAGCAAGCTGGTAAGAACAGATCGATGACAGATCAACATAACCTGACTTCTAGGGAGAAGGCAGTGAATGAAGCTCCACTAGGAAGTGACTCACATTTTCTGGAATGGATGGCAGCTTTGCAGGATCCGGAGCCACAAAATAGGAAAACTGGGAAAGAACACACAAAGTATCAGAATTTCATCCTCAACCACTTTATGTCATAGTCAACCTGAGGACTAATAATTATAACAATTATAGGTCAATTATGTTTTAATTAGGAATGCACAGATACTTTTCAGATACCAGTGCAGATACTTGGCATTTTCATGAGAACTACCAGGGTTGCAGCGGTTGCAGCTGGGACCGGGCTCAGGTGCCCCACCACTGTCCTGAAATCATTAGTCTGTATTGTTTTACAAAAACTGTCACATGACAATAAACAAAAATGTATCAGTACTTGTATCAGTGAGCACTTGGAGAAGTATCAGTACTTGTATCTGTGAGCACTTGGAGAAGTATCAGTACTTGTACTTGAAAAAATGGTATTGGTGCATTCCTTATATATATATTTATAAAAACAAAATCGTACAATGTAATGAGATGTACAAATCCCGGGAGCTCCGTGTGCTCCTTACAAATGCCAGCTGCCTCCTAACTTCTGAGTTTTGCTCTAGTCTAGTCCTGGAGCTGGAAAAGTATCTGTACTTGTACTTGTACCGAGTGCGGTACTTGGTATCGGTGCATCCCTAGTTTTAATGTTTTTTTAAGATCAAAGAAGATTTGTTTATATACAAGCTCAGTAATAGTTCTTTCCTTTTAGACACTCTGTCTCTGAATACTTAGAGGGAATCTTTGGAGGGCGGTGAAGAAAAGAGGGAGGAGTCAATGCTCTACCTTTTTTACTTGTATATGTACATTGCAGTTTGAGCTAATGAGCTCTGTAAAACACCCATTTTTTCCCCGCAGAATGGAGATGTTGGATGTATAAGAAAAGGAAAGGAAAGGGGGGGGGGGGGGGGGGGGGGCTGGGGCAGGGTGCCTGCTGCCCCTTTCCGGCCAGAG